CTCAGGCGAAACCCCCGACACTAGGGAGTAGGGGGACCCGAAGCTGCTGCGGTTTTCCGCAGGCCAGGGTGGGACCGATTTCTGGCGACCTCTGGGTCACTGGCCGTCCAGGTGCCGCCTGCAGCGCCACCTCTTCCCCACAGGAGGGAGGACGGCTGGGCGGGGGCAGCTCTGCCACCGCCTCTGCGTCCCCAGGTGTTGTGGCGCCGTAGCCCTGCAGGTGTCGCGGGGTTCAGCCTCGGCTCCCCTCGGTCCCGGGACCTGGATCCTTAAATGGAAGGAGAGGAGGAAGAAATGATGGAGAGAAGAGAGGACGGTGTTTAATTCCACTCACCAGGTAGTTACTGCAAGCCGGAGAAGACTGGGGACTCGGCCCACGTCTTAGACCCCCCACATCCCTAGGCTCCGCTCGCCGTTCCCAGTGGGAGGCTCCCCCTGCCTGTCCAGTCCTTCACGAGCGCCTGCCACAGGCCGGGCCCCAGCACGAAGCGCTAAACTAGGGGGACTCTAAAACTTCCCACCACCCCTAAACCGCAGGAACTATGACCCGCGTATTGCGGACTAGGGAATGGCCTTGGAGAAGGTTTTGCAGCTTCAGGAGGAGGGAGGACTCAGAGCCGGGTTTGTGTGACCGTGCAGCGCCGACCACAGCCCACAGTCCCCCAGCTGTGCCGGCTCATTGTCCAATCGCATGGTCTGCACCTGTTGCGGCGGGAAGGGAGGAAGACTAGGACCAAGAAGACTATCAGGTGACTTTCTCCCATCTGGGTCGGGGCTCAGAAAGACCTTTCCGGAGCTTTGCGCCTTGGAGTAAAAGATCTCCCCTCTCTAGGATCGCGTCCCCAGTGGGAATGACCCCTTAGGATTGCAGGGGAGAGAGTAGGATATGAGGGTTCGGATCAGCGCACTAGGAGGAAACCCGGGTGGCGGGAGTCTCGACAGCCTGCGCAGAGGGAGGGGGAGGAAGCGAGGCTGCGCTAGCTGGAGTCCACGAGGTGGGTGTGCGGCGCTTCCATTCAAACTTTGCAAAGTCTCCGCTCAAGCGTCAGCGAAGGTGTGACCAATCAGAGTCCAGAGACGTGAATAAATTATGCAAATAACCATCTGGCGATGGGTCAGATGACCACGGTACTTTTAAAAAGTACCTCTCCAGGAGCTCGCGGTGTGACAGCGGGAGCCCTCGCTTCCCTGCGGCTCCGGCTGAGGGCGGATCTGGTTCGGGTGCACGCTTTCCACTGACCTTCCCACCGCTCTGCGGCTCAGGGCAGCCAGCTTTTCATTTTCCACCCTCTCTTCCTGCAGCTGTCCAGCACATCACCCTCTGGTGGACAGAAGTCTGCCCACCTCGGGTCTTACCGGCTCGGACTGCTGGAAACACCAACAAGTGGTGTTTTTTTGTTTTGTTTTGTTTTGAAATCCCTGCTTGGGGAGGGCGTAGCGGGGAAGGATGAGAAACTCGGTCCCTCTGCTCTGTTGCTGGAGCGTCTATTGTTGCTTGGCCGCGGGAAGCCCCGCACCCCTCAGTCCAAAGGGACGGCTGGAAGGTAATGTGAATTCATTTTTATCCCTCACCCCCTTCTCTGTTGTTGGGCGCCCTGTGCCTGGCAGAGTCTCCTTGTTCCTAGAAAATCCTTTCTTTCCCCAATGCCACTTGTCCCTTCTGTTGAGAGCACCACCAGCGAGTCATCCAAGAGGCTGCAGGCTGGCAGCGTGTGCTCATTCGAATCTTCGCTCCTGTCCCTGCCTTCTTTCCTTGTATGAGTCCCTTAATCTGTGCTGTCCAGCTAGCTGCTAACAGTTTTATCAAAAAGCTTTATTTAATCCCACCCCCCCCCCCCCCGAGCGCATCTCAGCACTGCCCACT